ACCTCTATCGGCCAGAAATTATTGCCACCCACCTGAGCTGTGGAAACCCGGTCAGCATGGGCTCCCCACCTGCCTTGTGCATTCGGAGTTTGCCGGCTTTTTTTTAAAGTTTTTACGTTATTTGCCTGTTTAGGATGCTTACCCTTTGTGTGTTATCTTCCACTGTGAGAAGCAGGGAATACCAGCGCTCGTTGCCTGAACAGCCTTTGCAGGAAACGAACAAAGAGAGTGAACGTCAAGCAGCATGCGACGCAGGCAGTTCAGTGTTCTTGGAGGATTTTTTTCGCTGAGAAAATCTCCAAAAAGCGTTCCCGGCTATGTTCCGGGTTTTGCGAGAAACAGCTGATAGGGTCGGATTTGGGCTGTGGGGACGGAATAGACGCGTTCGTTCATTTGCTTTGAAGCTGTGCGAAAAAGCAGCTCTCTTCAAAACCTGCCCCAAAACACTCCGAATTCTGTTCGATCGTCGTGATGTGACTGTCATCGACATTGTATATTGGATATGCTGTGTTGCTTGAGATCTTTCTCAAATCTTGTTCGGATAATGTGGCACCATGCGGTACGTACAATATATGGTGTTCGATTGATGAGACTCGTTGAATTTCATGTTGTGGGTGGGGAATATCCATGCAGTTCGAATATCCTGAGTGGTCAACTGTTTTCGACGGTGAAGACCTTTGTAGATTAACAGGGCTGAGTGTATGCTGCCATAAAAAGTTTAACATAATATGAAACAAACATTCCAGTTGCATTTGTTCTGTCATGCACTAATTCGCCAAAACAGCATTCATTTCTTTGTTTTTGTTCCCAAAAAGAGTACAATGGATTCTTAAAAACCCAGAGAAATTCTCTTCGCTATAAAACACAAAGTAAAAAAAATAGAACACTGCAATTTAGCCTCCACCAACGTCCGGAAGTGCACCTACGCAGGTTGCCACGGCCCACTGACCAGAAAACCCACAGCCCAGCGCAGTCAGGCAACACTGACGTACCCTCTCAAAACAAGGGACGCGCGCTGTGGATCGCTTCGTTCGAGACTGCCGCTAGAAAGGTCTATAGGTAGCCATAGTTGCGCGTCTGTTTTTCACAGGCTGCCGTGCAACTATTCGCCGAGATCGATTATGTGAGGAGCAAAAAATCCTGTGCCATGCAGGAAAGTCGGTACTCCGACATTCCACGCAGGCGTGCCGGCATATGTTACCCTGCTTTTGCCTCTTCCTCCTTCCCTGTTTCCCAAGTGCGACGCCTCTACAGTCTAAGCTCATTATAACAGACCTGGTTACAACAGACTTTTGAATATAATATACCGATTTCTGAAGTTCGGTTGGTTTTCCTCTATGTACCACTGACTCAACTTCATATCTGCATACAACATACCCCTTTTACAACAGACTGAAACCTTGGTAAAAATCAAGGTCTGTTATAACGAGCTTATACTGTATTTACCAAATTCAGTCACGTGACCGGCGGCAGTCGACAAACCACGGCACCAACACGCGAGTGAAGTGGCTCTGACACATCACTTAGGATTTCAAGATGGCTTAACGCGCAACTCTGGCTCCCGTAAGGAGCCTACTCAGAAAGCTCAAATCCATAAAAAGGTGTATGTGGTGAAAGGGGTTGGGCTTGAAGAAGACAAAAGCAGCAAACTATGAATTTTAAAGGAGTTCATGGCAGTGGTGAGTGAATGTTGGGCAAGTTAAGTGTCAAGTTCCTATACGTGGTATTCTGGGCACTTCTGGCCACCTTGACAAGGATAAAAAATCCTTTCCGGTTCGGGTATTCGTTGCATGCTTTTAAGAGGCAACATCTTGGCAGTTTTGTGTTTTGTAATCCAGTCGGTGTTTTGTGGTGTTCGACATGTCCGGTGGCTACGGAGATGCCATAGTATCATGCGCTTGATTGCACAGCTTTGGTTCGAGAGATCTCCGTCAAATAAAAGGCGCCGCAGGCCGTGGCCGTCAAACATAGCCAGGGGCTGTATTGTGGCCAGTTGCTTCGAATATGCATCGATTTCACGCAAGCGCTATGAATTCTCGCTCTATTCTTGTATCAAGGTTGCACACACCTGACTCTTTCAATGAATTAAGTGCCTCCCATATATAGATTGATTGAAAGAATAATTTATATCTGCCACTTTTTGAACGTTCAGACAATGAAAAATATAAATAATTTACATTTTAGTTTGAGGCATATGCTGCCAAAAGTGCCATATATGAGGAGATGCTGACTCTGTTTTTAAACATTTAATAATGCAATAATATTAATACTTTTTTGTTAAAGGGATTGTCCGGTCTAAACCGGAAATACTTAAGATTTTGCGCTCGTTACGTCGAGGGAGCCTTGATGTAGACAAGCGTCATTTTTATTTTGATATGTGATATCCTGTTATTAACTAAACCTTTCATGAGCGTATGTACAAAACTGCACCCCGAATTTCGCCAGTGTCAATGGCTGGCATCCATAGCTGCTGCGTGACGTCACAAAACGCAAAGGTTTGTCGGATGGTCGAGATAACAAGCGTTAGTCGATGGATGTCTTGTATTTTGTTTCGAATTATAGTCTCCTAGGCTGTATCCTATTGAATTAAGGTTCTTTTAATGCAGTTCCCAAGCGTGTGCAAAAAAAGTCACGCCTTTTAGCAGGATATTACTCGAAAACAGCCATAAGCTTTGAGCAAACGTATGCCGTTTCGCGCAAACACAACTGCGACGGCCACCGATCGAACTGGGGGCGCTTGCTTAGCAATTGAAGGATGCTGATCTCGCCTCTGAAGCGGCAACTAAGTACACGAAGCGGCATCTGGGTACACATTTCGGCGGATCCACTTGATCGGTGATCAGGCTGTGGGTCGTTCCCTCAGAGGCGATGTCAGCAGGTCGAAGGCAAACGGCGAATCGTTCAAATGCATATCGTCACTTGACTTGGACGAGCTTGGTGAATGTTAGCCACGCTCTGTTTTCACATGCGGGTCAAACAGAATTTGGCTGCCTGCGTACTAAATACAACATTTGGTATTGTTTCCAGGTGATCTAGCTGTTGGTTTCGGTTTCACTGCATAATCAAATTGATTGATTCGATTTGGGCGAGGGATGGATGGACATAGTTAAATATCTTTGGCACAGCATCACACCTCAGCTTACGAGCCTTCTGTCCTCTTAGAGCTCAGTGCGTAGCTCTTTTCTGTGAGATGATTGCTGCATAAGCGGGATCTCGATTTTGACGGGAACCCAGTCCCTATGCATGGCGCCAATCCATATTGCTAGTCACTGCACGTCTCGCGGAAAAGTGTGGAACGTCATGTCTTGGCTCGCATGTGCTGCCCCGTGGTTGTGGCACCCAACCGTGCAACAAAAATCTCACCCAACCACAAAACAAGTCGAGCACAACAACAAAAACGAAGCACGCTGAGGCATTCACTCGCAGTCAAACGACGAGAAAGAAGTGCTGGCTTTGTGTTGTGTGACGTCAGAGCTCCAATGTTGCCACCGAAAGCAGCGTTTACGCTAGAGTGCGATTGGAGCAGTATAAATTTAATTACTGATGCAGAGGGGCATATAAAATTCAGATATTGCACGTACAATGCGTCTCAAGGCAAACGCAATGACATTCACTTGTTTTCTTGACCACAAAATTTGACTGGACAATCCCTTTAAAACAAAATGCTTTTTACTCAGATCAAATTTCAAGCGCTTGCACATTTGTGATCAGACAGTTTATGTGACGGTCTTGAACAAACACGAGCTGAGAAACTCAGACACTTAGAGAAAAAAAATAAAGTAAATTTTGGGAACATGCCAGAGAGGACTGAGGATTGCGCTTTCGACGTAGAACTGAACCTGGGAATTTGGAAGCCGACACTTTGCCTAAGACAACCTGAGAGCCACATAAGCTTTTTCTTCTTTTATGGCTCGGAATAGTGTCTCTACATGAAGCAAGAAGTGAGAAATAACATAAAACTATTGGTACTGCTGCCTTTTCAAAGACCTTTATTCAACTGCCCGCACTTTGGCCCGCTCGTGCCGAGTCAACTCAAAGTGCCTTGCGCACAAGGTTTTGCCTTGCGCACAAGGTTTTGCCTTGTGCGCACGGCACTTTTTCAAAGTCATGCCTTTCAAAGGAAGCGCAACTGACAGCCAAAAGTAGTGAAACTCTCGGTGTACTCTGTATCCTATTTTTAGCCCAGCCCTTTTCTTTTTTTATTGGTGGACCCTCTTGAGTCCGTAATAATGAGGCAAACCTGCCAGTATTTACCCAGTTTGTTCCCAAAACTAGCTGTCCATAGTCTGGGCTATGGGTTTTAATGTTCACGAGGCAGAGTTGAATGGGGAGGGATTGGTCCCCCAAAATTGTTTATATAGCGGAGCGTCCATATTAGCGAGACATGACTGCAACACATGTTGAAATATTTTTACCAATAACGTCAGTGAAGACTTTCAGTCTGACCTGCCATGATCAAAGTCATTGGCCAATCAGAAAACGTCATATATAACAGTCTCCAGGAATATTGTTTTTGTTCCACTCTAAATAATGAGGCATGCAAGCCCCCAGAGAAGTACAGTGCAATCCACTTATAACGATAATGAGGAAACTCAAAAATGCAATTGCTATAACAAATTATTGTTGTATCCGGACCAGAAACCGGTCGTTTCTAGTCTAAAAACTATAAACTGATCGTTATAAGCAGTATATCATTATATGTGGGAGGCCTAAGAAGACAGAAATACTTTTCAAGGCGAGAAGATATGTAAAGTGCAATTTAGAAATCAAAATACAAAAAAAATGTTTGAAATTATGTTTTTCTAAAGTTTTTAGTTTTTGAGACTGGTGACTCCTTAATGGTGCCAGCTGCATTTGAGTGCTTCCATGAACCCAATTACAAAGCGCAGCAAAATATTAAATTACAGCTGCAGTAAAACTGCATGAATGACTACTCTTTTCCAAAAAGGCGATCTTGGTTGGACTTTTCTTGTGTTAATACATATGATATTTTCTTGTAGGTGATGAAGCCACATTTTTAGGTGAAACCAGCTGCCCACTGAAAGTCACCGAGGACATCTGGTTTGGATGCTGTTTCTGCACCTATGTCACCAGAGATCAGCATGTAATTGTGAGCCACCTGGCTGCCCATGGCGATGAACAATCTAAGTGCCAGCATACTCCCATGTCTGGCTCCAAGTCCCAAGTGCTTGCCAACACTCAAAAGCACAAGAGTGAAAAGCCATTCAGGTGCAAGCTTTGCCCCCAAGAGTTTGCTTATAATTCCCTTCTGGCCCGTCATAATCGAACACACACTGGTGAAAAACCATTTAAGTGCATGCAGTGCCCCAAAGCTTTCACTCAGAGTAAAAGTCTGACATACCACAATCGATCACACACAGGTGAAAAGCCATATAAGTGCAAGCAGTGCCCCAAAGCCTTTGCTCAAAAATCCGATCTACAAAGACATAATTATATGCACACTGGTGAAAAGCCATTTAAGTGCACGCAGTGCCCCCTAGCCTTTGCTAAAATTTGTTCTCTGAGAAAGCATAATCGAATGTACACTGATGAAAAGCCATTGAAGTGCAAGCAGTGCCCCCAAGCCTTTACTCAAAATTGTCATCTGCAAACCCACAGTCGAATGCATATTGGTGAAAAGCCATTTAAGTGCAAGCAGTGTCCCCAAGCCTTTTCTTACAGTGGCAACCTAATCTACCACAATCTTATACACAGAGGTGAAAAGCCATATAAGTGCAAGCAGTGTCCTAAAGCCTTTGTTCAAAAGTCCGATCTACGAAGCCATAATTTTTTGCACACTGGTGAGAAGCCATTTAAGTGCAAGCAGTGCCCCTTGACCTTTGCTAAAAATGTCTATCTGCGGTGCCATAATCGAACGCACACTGGTGAAAAGCCATTTAAGTGCAAGCAGTGCCCCAAAGCCTTTGCTCGAAGTTCCTGTCTGAGACGCCATAATCAAACGCACTGATTAAAAACCATTGAAGTACAAGCAGTGCCTCCAAGCCTTTTTTCGAAATCCCCATTAACAAAGCGATAATTATTTCTACAGTGGTTTAAAGCCATTTAAGTGCAATCAGTGCCCCCAAGCCTTTTCTCGTAATCCCAGTCTGATCCGCAATTACGGAAAACAGTGTTTAAGGGGAAAGGAGCTGAAATTTAGTATGCTGATGTAGTTCTCAGTGGTGATTTCAAATATGCAATTAGTTTTCAGATAGCTTTACTAGACCTGAGATACTGAGATATCAATAAATATTAAATTTAATTACGCCCTCGTTACGGGTCGTTAGTATAAAATTTTTAAGAATATATCAGCAATTTTTATAGAATTGCATTCACCAAGACATGCTTTTTATAGTAAGACTTTGTTTCTTTATACACCAACTCATGTTTACAAACAATCCGGAGCGCCCCTAGCGGATGCCACCGGCGCCGCGCATGCGCGGTGGACGGTGGGCAAGAAGCTCGCCGTCGCCCAAAAACAAACCATTGAATTGCGTTGTCGTCGGGGGGTAAGTCCCCGTGCTCTTTTTCGCGTTGAAATTCTTGATCTTACATCCTCCTAACAATGTCTGACTACTTGAGCGGCTTCAGAAAAATTAACAAGCTCGTTACACCGCGAAATTTCGCGTGAATAATGTCACGTGCGGCGATTCATTTCACGTGGACGCCGCAGAACGGGCGCTAAAGCCTGACTTCCACGATGAGTTGTGCCCTTCCCTCATCCTCCTGCATATCCCCCATCCTCCTACATACTCTTGCCTCCTCCTGCTCCATACTCTCCCCTTCTCCCACAGTTTACCTGCTAAATCTAGCTGAAAAATTGACGCCAGGCAACCTGAAGAGCAATTTGATTCCCCGCTAAATTTAGCGGGGAATTGACTTGCTGTTGGGGTCACATGATGTCAATTTTCGGGCTGCATCTAGCGGAGAAACTGAATTTGTGCAAAAGTGATGCGACACCGAGTCATGTGACGTCATTTTCCCTGCTAAATTTAGCGGGAAAACTGAATTGGTGTTGAGGTCATGTGCCGTCAATTTTTCCGCTAAATCTAGCGGAAAAATTTAATTTGTTCATAGGTGACGTGACACAAACTCATGTGACGTCATTTCTCCCGCTAAATTTAGCACGGTTACGCCGACGCCGCGAAACCCCAAAAACGGGTGCCTGAGAGCTGCGCTTCACAAAAAGATAAAAACCTTTGTCCCACCTTAAAAACCTTACAAGTGCAAACAATGCCCCAAAAGCTTTTCTCAGTATAGGAGTTTATCCTCCAGAACCAAATGCACTCGTGTGGAATGCCTTGCGGTGGACACAAAAAGGTGAGCCTGACCCGTGTGTACCATAATGTCCCGAGAGATAACCATCCCCAAAAAATAGCCCGTCCTGATTTGTAGCATGATTTGTAATTTTTTAATTGCTGAAGTTGAACTACTTTTTGAATGCCTAAAGTTAACTCACCCCCTATTTTCAGCAAATGTGCTCTCTCTCATAGCTGGGCTATATCTCGGGATATTATGGTAATCGTTTACCTCGTGCAAAACTTTATGCCTTTTTAATCAAAGTATGCATATACCCGAGTCCAAAATAAGTCTCAAGGCCTTTGCTCAGATTAATGGTGAGGCTCACCGCACTGAAGCATTTATGCGTAACAAGCCTCACAAATTCGAGCCGTGTCCAGGTCATTTTCTAAACGGTCTTGCCTCATTGGGCCCATGCTAACACATGACGTTAACAAACCCTAAGAGCATTTGTGGAAAGCCTGCAGCAGGGGGGCCTTTCAAATGCCAGCAATATTCAAGAAGCTTCGATCATTATTCAAGCTTGGTTGGCTACACTGCCAGACTGCTTGGCATTGCTCTCCAGCCTTTTGTCCGAATGCCATCATTTGTCGTCACAGAAATGTGTTGGTGCATAGGAAATGATTCCTCTCCAGCTGTGATCTTGAGGCTGGGTTAATGAATAGGAGACATTGTTTAATGTTTTTCAGCGCAGCTACTCTGTGTCCTGCACCTGAACGTACATTGGGTCATGCTCCAGCTCTTGTTCCAAACTCCCTTAAACTCGCTCGAGTATGCTTATTTGAGGCAAGGTCTAATATGTTCGCAACAATGTCTTGATTGTTTTCTTTTGATACTACTATTATCTTTGTGGAAGATACAAATATGCCAAAAGTTGATGTGTAACCAGAATTCCAGCTTGCTTACTAGAAAAAAAGGTTTGCAGTTTCAGTATTTGCACTGTTGTTTCTTTCAGCTGCTGCGGATTATGGTACTGAAGTAACGGCAGGTCCACACGCTTGTGGCTGCTTACGACTGGAGAAACCTGTTTTTAAGTCTCTGGGCTTAAAACCGGCTTGTCTCAGTTGGTCATAGTTAAATGCAAGTGTGTAAATGGGCCTTAAGTAGTGTGAAGTAACTTTTTCCAAGATTTTCATTTTGACATCCTGTATAGTGCCAGCTCCTCATTTTAGCAGTTACCTCGGTGGGGAACTAATTGCCGAGTCTGTGTATACACCGCAACACTTCCTTCTACCGGTTGGGACGTCGCTAGTAGAATGTCCCTCGCAATGCCCAGCAGGTTTTGCTATAAACTGGCACTGTACCTATTTTGGATGCCCTTTCTGGACTGCATTCACGAAAGCGGTGGAAAATTTTAGAACTGACCAACACGCTCGCACTCATAGTGTTTTCGCCTTCCCTTTTTGCTCTGGCGTCTTCACAGTCAGGTATTTATGTGACACCTGCTTTTAGATACAACTTTCCTTTGTGTTAGGTGTTCTCTCTATTTTCTTGCTCAGTGTCCATTTTCCTGGCAGTTGTTTCCGTGTTGCCTTGCTGTCTGCATCAGAATTTTCAAACTGTAGGTGTCATTGTTAGCTGGAAACTTCCATTTGCTTTTTTTTGTGTAACACAGAATGAGTTTGTTTTTCTGCTTCTGTGATAGCTAACATTCTTACATTTTTTTTAATAAGAATGAAAATTGTCGATGAAGCTAAAGCATAAAATGCATGAGCGGTGAAACTGGACGCAGCATGCCGTTCGCTGATAGGTGCGCCACAGACGCTAGCGCAATTCCTCCTCTCCTTGCGTTTTCCTCCTTTCCATCGAGGGCAATCCTCCTTGCCCTCCTTCTGTGCCACGCCCTTCGCTGCCATGTTTTTGCGAGGCCCACAAGGCGCGCGCCTGCGTGCCGGGCCGTACTTGTTTGCTATTGTATTCGGTGGACTAGAGAAATTTCTTTTTCAAACATAAAGACAGTTATGTTTTCTAAAGTGATGAAACTAGTGTCTGTGCACATTTATTATAGTTTGGTGACAGGTCAAGAACGAAGTAGAAGCTCCTCCCACCCCTTTTCACTTCAGTGGAGCAAATGCTGAAAAGGAGGCGACCTCCTCTCCACCGTTTGCTCTGCTGAAGTTGACAGGGGTGGGAAGAGCTTCCACTTCGTTCTTGACCTGTCACCGAGAGTTGTGAAGCACAAGAAGGCGTCTCGATCGGCAAATTTAATATTGCGAGCAGGGTTAAAATCGCTCGGGTGCGAGGACAAGCTTTCTCCAATTCCTCTGAACGCTGACAATTTGAAAAAAAAAAAATGCGTATATAGTTTTGAGTATTTTGGGACATCGGCATGCACTGCAAGAATATATTGCAGCTAACCACTTATTACAGTAACAGCTGCGAGAAGGCACACGATAGAATGTACCTCTTCCTGCGTGTAAATAGTTTCGTGCCCATGAAACTATAGCGGGAGATCATGCCGTCGCTTTGAGCATGGATTGGGCACGCGCCGCAAGGCTCGCTCTACTAATTTACTATCTTGAACCAAGTGCATTTGCAGACTCGGCATCACTCGAGTTGGGCAAATAAAAGACACCACAACGCGTGCAAAACCAGGACTTTTCGGTAATTTTCAGCATTACCGGCCCTCTTGCCGTACCAGCACCTTGGTTTACTTTGTACACATTTTATAAACATTCAATACTACCTGCAACTGTGCACAAGTGCACGGAGGAACATGCGACCTCTGCTAATCATGCGCCTCGTGTATATAACTAGCCATCAAATACACTCACTTGTTTCCCTTCAATTAAAATAAAACATGGCGCGTTCCCGGCTGCCATCTAGCATGTTTTTCATTCATCCCATTTATTAAGGAGGCCCTCGTTTATTTTTACTGTGTTTCGAGATATTGTTTTGACGTCCTCATGCGCAGGGTATGCCTTTGAGTTCACTTGCAAAATGTATAAGCTTTGCCACACACCCGCAGGCCTACCTTACTGCGTGAGTTACAAATGAGGGCAGGGAGATCCTTCAGCAAAGAATTCAAAAGACACTAGCAATTTAGTTTTTATTGCCAATAAATGTTTTATTAATTGCAGAGGGCAAATGACATACAAAGATTAACACGACAAAATATTTATGGCTACAAGGCAAAATATTGCACATTTGCCATCATCTGTCCTAGTTGCTCTTTCAAGAAAGACTCCTATATGTTCAACTACAAAGACATCCGTGACAAAATAATTACCTACTAGACATTTCTCACCATAACAATCTCCTACACAAAAAAATCCTAAGCACTGCAAAACAACTCTTTTCGTTCAGGATGTCGTGAGATTATACTGTTCTGCTGTGACTGAAGATCTGAAACAAAAAATTCTTGAAACAAGCATTTATCACACATTTGTGACGTATCTCTCATCGCAATGCTCCTGCTACTAGATTTCTTCGATGCCACTAGCTTTTGTTCCGCTTCGACATTGTGTTTCTTCACAAGAACAGGCATCCTTGTTTGCAGAAACAGTGTCACAACCTTTTTGTGTACTTCGTGGCATGTAGGAAAGGCATTGGCAGACAACAATGACCTCAATACTGTTTCTTTTAGAGCTGGGAGGCTCACTTTGTTTCTCAGAAGGTCTGATTCATCTTTCCCGGAATACGGTAACTTTTTTCCGTGTTTGTCTCGCAAATCGCTGAAATATGTTGCACAACAAAATCGTGAGCTGCTCAATCGTTGGCGACTCTCTTTTCACTGATGGAATATGCTCGCGGTAACACTACAACCTTCTTTATTTTAGTAAATGCAAGTGAGCTTAGAGCGAGCGAGTCAGTTTCTAATATCAAATACGCACAAAAAGACATGTTGAAGCCATGAATTTGCCTTGTTTACAGTATCTTTTAAATCGCTGCTCAATGTGCGATTATTTTTGCATTGTGTAATTAATTTGCGAGTATGTCTTTATTGCGGCAATATTTTCCGTTTCACTTTTACATTGTTTGTCTTAAACTAAATCTGCGGATGATAAATATGTAATCAGACTTCTGTTTCATTGTTCTTCAGGAATAAAGATTGACAGTCGAGCTCCCACTGTTTTCTTTTTTTTTTTT